TTATCTCAGTTTCTTTTTTGTGTGTTATGAGCACTTGTTAGCTAGTAAGGCAATATCGACGCTCTCTGCAGCAAGGGGCCAAAGACCGATTTCTCGCGTACCCATTCTTCTGAACCTCCATCTGTCAAGTACGTCAGTCCAACCTCTATCGCTTTAGCAGTGTCCGCCGGCGTTCCCCACCCGACCCACGGCGTGATCACTACCAAATGCTGGGCACAAAAATCGGTCAGCCACCAGCACAGCGATATGCGGAAACTGCTCACCGCGCCCATATGTTGTGCCGCGACGGTGGGTGTGCGGAGAGCCATCGTATCACAATGTGCGCGGTACGCCGTCAGAAACGCGTCGATGAGCGCAGACGCGGACGCTGTGGTGTCTGGCCGAAACAGTGTCAAGGTGTGCATCTCTGCGCAGAACTGGCCGATGTCGAGCGCGGCAACCCCTGGTTTGACGAGTTCCCAGTCGATGACGTGCACCCGCTCGAGCGCTGACTCCTCGTTATTGGTGGGATGGAGGGTGACCATGACGTTGCCGGTCCAGAAATCGCCCATGGTGAGCGTCTCGCGCGAGTGGTAGATTTCCGTCGTGCGCTCAGCGATAATCGCACGGAGGGCATCCAGGGTGCTATCGGGGACCGGTGTGGGTAGGCATGCGACGGCTGGGACTTTGTCCGTGGTCAAAGTAGATATGAGGCGTTCGTAAGTGATCCAGGCAGTAATTCTCTGTTGCAATGCGTAAGGGATAAATACAAGAATGATGAGACAACGACCTTGGCTTGTGTGTTCTGATCAAAGGCATCCAACAGCGAGGAGTCGGTGGCACCCCACGAATGCAACCGGCCTAAGAACTGGCCCAACGCAAGGCCGATCTCGCGTGCGACGGCGGGCGATGGTGTCGCCTCAGCATCAACTCTTTCAAGTTGAGCGACTGAGCGCCACAATCGTCCATAATGATTACATGCCTTTGCTCGTCGAAGTGGTGCAGCTCAGGTACGGTTGCGCCCGATCCGCAGTCGAGCTCTTCCCGGATTTTTTTGAGTGCTTTCGCTTCAAAGGTCTAAGTGCCACGTCAGTCATTGCTTAGTGATCCCGCGGAACTGGTGAGGCCAAAATATGCGCCAGGCATAAAACGCTTGGCTTGGAGGCCCGAACCTATGCGCATGTATTGCACACACCTGTCTTTCCATGGCGGACAGGATTTCGGTGGTAGACAGTACGATGTCTGATTTCGCGTACTTCATTACCAGTGTCGAGCGACCCTTGTACGGCGTCAAGAGGTGGAGGCGGTAGGTAAAGTTGCTATGGTTGCCGCAAAGGAGATTCGCGCTTGTACTAGCGAATTGCGTGGGTGCAAGATATGCTTGCGCTCCAGCGACAGTGGATAGGTCGTGGTCAATGGTCATTGCGAGGGAGAGCGGGGTTGGTAAAGGGGCAACGGTTTTGGAGTCAGTTGGCGGTTCCGGAGAGGTCAGTCCTCTGGCAGTGGGCCTAAAGCGTATCAGATGGTGATGCGTGACAGATACTCATGGAACGGCGAGACTGTTGATCAATCGGATCCTTCAGAGAAGCGCCACTTTACACGGCATGGATAACGGCAGCCGTCGGCATAGTTCGGCATGAGCGCTGCCCTCCAATTCGATCATTCGGTCCCATGGTTCAATGGATCACACTCTCTCAAGAGAAGGAATAGACAATTTCAGAAGTTAATCCAGCACGGGCGTTCAGGATTTGTTCAGGATGTTGCCAATTTGGGTTGGAACTTGAAGCTCGCGGCGACTCGTCGCGGTTGTGCACAAGGGCCTTGCCTCTCCGGCGCTGCTGGACACCTATCACAAGGAGCGGCTCCGTTTCATCGCACATGCTCATAGAACTGTATAACAAGTCGCTCGGTGCGATCGGGCCCTGACGGCAAGAAGAACGACGAGGCCTGGGCAGCGGTCACCGGTGCTCTCCAGTGTCCACTTGCTGGGGATTGATTAACTACGGTGGAAGCTCGATCGTGCTGGAAGATAACGCCCCGGTGGCGGGTTCCAGTGCGTACTCGAAGAGTATTAGCGGGCGCGCGCAAGCGGCATATCGGGCCCCGGACGCGCCGAAATACCAGGGATGTGCGAAGGAGCCCGACCGAAGACCGAAACTTGGGGAGCGCAGCCTGCCAGCGCAACGGATTCTAACAGATTGCAGTATGCATGGAGTGCGAATTTTACGTAGCCAAGTAAATTCCTGCGCTAGGCCCTACCCCAATCCGGAATATTGATCCCTCGAGATGGTAGTCCGAAAATCTGAGTAGGTGATAATTCAGTGATTACCGAGTCTGACTAGACATCATCTTTTTAGGCGCAAGTCGTATACTATCCTTCCGTTTCGTTTCCTCGAGATCTGGTCACTTGACATTCAGTTTGTCTTATTTAAGCGACTTTGACCACAACACCACCCGTGAATTCAGACCTCCTTGGAAAGAAGCGCTGTCCTATATTATTGCAATCCCACTACCGACTTGATTCTGTGGCGGCGCGCGACTAAATCATGATTGGTATCAAGAAACGGTTTCCTAAACAGCCAGGACGTGGATTTTCTCTCTACAGGCATGACAAGATGCCAAAACTGGCTACACCCTGCAGACTGCGGCCCTCGGGATCCCAATCTGCTCAATGCTATAGATGAAGCTGCTGTTCTTCCCAACACCAATACAAGTGACCATGAATCTCCTCGCAGTTTCGCTTCGCCTCGCAGCCGTCGCTACCGTCAAGGCCTCCAGTAGTGAGAATCACCAATGGGCTCCTCCCACAGCCAACGATGTTCGTTCGCCTTCCCTGGGCTCAATACGCATGCTTACCTTAACGTTGTCGAATGCAGTTAATGTCCTCGCAGCCTCGCGAACCATGGTTATCTCCCTCGGACGGCAAGAACATTTCTATTCTAACGATATTACAGGCTGCAGTTGGTAAATGTTTTGGAGCATGCAAGACCGAGGGACTGATGCTATTTCTAATCCTGGATGGTTTCAACGTCGGGCCCGACACCATCATACAAGCAGCCAAGTTTGGGCTTTTGTTTGGTAACACCCCCATTACGTTGGATCTCGACGCTCTCAAGCTGTAAGTTGCGTCTGAAACTGGACGACAGCCAGCTTTATTGAGATCACATCACAGCCACAATCTTGTTGAGTGCGACGCATCCATCTCGCGCGGCGATCTTGCCGTGACTGGGGACAACCTTCACTTCAACGAGACAATCTTCACCAATCTCGCAAACGCTAACCCTAGCGTGGATTATTACAATGCCTCATCTGCTGCGCATGTTCAAGACGAAAGGGACGAACCCCAACATCACCGATACGGCAAAAGAGGTCGACTTGCGCACCCGCGAATCGGCTCTGTATCTGAGTGCGATGGGGAATCCTATCACTGGCGTCGCACCCAAGAAGTATGTCCTAGAATTTTACTTTTTCTTCATACAGGCTCTGACAGTTGTGCCAAGCTTTGTTCAAATCTTCTTTAGGGACGAAGTCTGCCCATTGCGGAAGGGTGGAAGAGGTTGAACATGACGATCACCGCGGAATCGCTGAACCCGATTCAAAACCAGATCTTCTTTGTTTCGAATTACACGGGACCCACCCAGCCTTGCAAGGCTCTCGTCCTCGGCCCAAACCTCACGATTTAATATAGCGCACATGAAGTCATCCTTTGGCTAAAGCTAAATAGTTCACTGACCGCTGTTATGCTTACACCACAATACGTTTCTGCATGGATAACCATTATATTGCTCGAACATACTGATCGCTCAACTGTTTTAATGCAGAACAAAACCGATTTGTTAAATCCTCTCATACAAACAACGAAGTATCGCATGGGCTCTGTGAAAATGTACTTCGGGGGAAAGAGTTAAACTTGGAGTGCATACTGTTGGGCCTGGTTGAGATCAAGGAAGAGAAAAACAAGCGGGGTGACGCGAACTCAGTGTTATCTCTGAGTCTTTCAGAGGCAAACGAAGTCGAGGTAAGCGAGAGTTTGCTTACACAAAGGATCAAAGTTTAGCCAGTGTCGATAGATACACAGTGCTTGTTGCTCTTCCCTGGTATGTTTCGAGGCTCAAAACTAGTTGTGTACCAAATTGCAAATTGAACATGAATCGAACTTGAGAGTGCCGAGCCCGAAGGCATGGGAGGTAAATTGCAAGTTTGTCACTTCGCTGGGACTGACACTTTGCGCGTGGGACCACGCCGCGAAATAGAACATGAGTCGACTCCTTGGAATTCGAAAGCTCGACACGTGACTCCGTCGGCGCGTCAGAATTGGACAAGCACGCGCAAACAAGCTCCTATTTCTCCACGTCAAGTGATTGTGGCATTACCCTACTGTCACCAGTGTCATATGGATCCCACAAAAATGCATGATAGCCGTGGCGAGAATTGAACTCGCAAATCTCCAGCTGATCTCAGAGTGTCAGAGTATGCTGGCGTCATACCATTGGACTACAGGGCGTAAAACGGACGCAGGAGAAACTGCTATGATGAAAGTTGAGAAAGGTCCCATCGTCTTCTGCGGACTTTAGCTCGGAAATTTGAATAGCTCTCGCTCTGGGCAAGGGTCTGGGTGGGATTGGTGATGAGCCCCAGTGAGGATTAAATGAGATCCGGAGTGAAAAAATGTGGTATAGACAGAAGTTCTCATGTAAGCTCATATTATCTCGAAAATGGCACTAATTTTGGTTACTTGGCGAGATGCATTGAGATCAGTCGAGTTATGTGTCATTCCTTCTCATTTGATCACTCCTGCATCACGCTTGGCTGTCACGCGCACACGGAATGGATTGGGATGATATGGGATGTCTTGAATATCTCCTCCAAGGGGCACTCGGGATTCGAATGCCGGACAGGGGGTGGGGGGGGGGGGAGGTCCCGACCAAGGCCTTAAAAATCTTTTTATAGTAGATTTCAAACTAAGCTAAAACAGTGTTTTAAACTCATCTGAAGCTATGGGAAGGCCTGAGAGACATGTATTAGGTCACCTTGAGTGTCTGCAAGGTCCCACTACCCTTGGTAGACCACGCAAAAATATCTTTGTAATTTAAAGGCAGTTAAATAGGCACCAAAGTTGTCAAAAAGATATATTTGAGTCAGTTTCCAGTTCAAATAAAATGTCTTATGGTCAGTATACACCCAAAGACCTGTGGGCAGAATGTACTTCGCGGTGGCCTATTCGGGCAGGCAGCGGCTTGAGAGCGGCCATCAGGTGGCGATGCACGGGCACATGACCCGGGGAGGCGGTCCGGCGCTACCCATGGGAAACTCCTTCCCTATATAGGGGGGGAGGGGGGGGGGTCTGGCCGAGGTCCTTAAAAATCTTTTCGACCCCCTATCCGTTATTTGAATCCCGAGTGCCCCTTGATCTCCTCCCTCAATCCATCTCAGTTCATAACATATGCCAAGCCACGATCTCAGAATCAAACGAGAAAAAAAGAGATGTATTCAAATAACTACGATACAAAATCATCCCCCCGACCGTTGTGCACTGTCATTGGATGCCAACCGCCTATGGAGTGGGACTTCAGAGAATAGCTTGGATGTGTTGTCGAATATCTTGAGTAGCAGGTATGTGCGGGAGCATCTGAAGCTTCTGTAGATGCATGTGAGATAGAGCCCAGATGACAGCAAGGAGTACGTTACCAATTCTTTTGAGTACATCTCGTAGGCATATGTAGCACAAATTGAGATATGGTTGTGAGGATGTGGAGAGGAAGCAACATACCTGAAGCAGACCCGGATTCTCGGTCGCCAGACTCGGCCAGTGCAGGGTAAATTCGTGAGAGGACCCCCCACCTCATCAGCATATACAGCCATGTAAAGATTCCTATGTAAAATGACGCACAGCACAACAACCACAGATTATAAGGCACGTACCATGGAGTGAAATGTATTGGGTTAGGCCTGCGTGCCTTCTTTGAAGCGACTGACACCGTGGGTTCCGTAGCAGGAGGCGCGGCAGCTGTCACCGCAGTAGGTGTGGAGGATGGTGGCGGCGATGGTGGCGGCAGTGGTGGTGATACGGTGACGAGGGAACCCCAGCGACGATGCGAGAGCGAGGAAGGAGAAGGGTTGGGTATGTGTCGGGCTACAGTAGCGTGGTGGCCACGTAGGGAGCGGGCAGGGAGGGAGAAGGCCGCAGCAGGAGGGGAAGGGAAGAGGGTGGTGGTGGTGGTGGTCATCGATGAGCACTGCAGTTGACTGCAACGTCACGACTGCGGCACCAGTTCACAGACTCCATACACACTCTGGAAACACTGGAACCGGGACCTAAATAGTGCCCAAGCCGGCGTTACAATCATCGCAATAACCTCCAAGCGGCCTGCGTTCTTGGGTACACATTGGTGAATTCTTGAGGGAGTGAGATCATAGACGCCGATGTGGCAAACAATGTCAGCTCAAGACGATCATTTGTCTAACTTCAACTGTCCGGCCCAGATGGGACAAAAATTGGATAGGATAAGAGCGCTGGTGAAAATAAATGGTCTCGGAAACAGACGGAGGGAACCGTGTGGTCCTTTATATAAAATCCAGGTAAGAAAGGATCCAGACCGCGTTGGAGAATTCGAAACATCCCAAACCTCCATCAAAGTGAATTTCGTGTAGATAAAGATGTGGATGCCCATGGATGAAGTAGTCGAAGTCGTAAAGGAAATGGAGGGGAGTGAAGACATGCACTGCCCAAAATTGCTGTTCCAAACAGAAAAACAAGAATGCGTCCTTCTGTGAGCAGGCTTTAAATACAATGAGATACCGTCGATCGGAGGACTAACATATATATATTGGAAGAAGGAAAGGAAACGCACCGGCGAATATACCGCATCTATTCCGGGCGGCGAGGGGCCGGGGGGCTAGTACACACAAACATTTTCCTAAGTACGAACGAAGGGAAAGAGCTGCACAAAGACGCACAGGTGTATATACCTTACTCACAACATCTTCCTTCACATACGGCGGCGGCGCGTAATCTGCGGCTGTCGCGGGTGGGTACTCGCTCCCCAGAGGCGGCGGTGCATACGAACTGCTTCCGTACTGCATCCCGTGCGGGAAGCAGGAGGAGGTGAGTGGGTGGGCCCTGGTGGAGCCGGGACACAGGTTCGTGTGGCACCGGCGGTGGCTCGGACAGTTGAAGGTTGGTTTTCGTCGTTACGGTCAGGAGCAAAGGCGTCACTCCATACATTTCGCCTCGCTCGATACATTTCAAAGGTGTTGTGACAGCGGCAAACACCGCCACCCTCTATTGAGCCCAGAGCAGCGGGCCTGACTGAGTGGGAGGACTTGCTGCAAACTTGGAGTGGCGGTGAGGTGCAACTGCCGAGCTGGTGAGGCTCGGCCCATACCAAGTCGCCCTGGTGCACCTCGGACTGTTCTCTCGAAGCACAGATGTCGGCGAAAGAGCTGCACACGAAGTTACGGCGGTGCGCTCCGCCTGCACCTCATTGACGCGCCGATGCTTATGGAGATGTCTTGCGCTCCGTAGAGATCTGCCAATAATTCCTGGAACCCTACTTAACTAGGATGGAACGATAACCCAGAGCAAATTGGTGCCTCTACTGTAGTATTTCGTTCAATTTGTAAGGCGGTTTGGTGTGTGACACCATCGAACCTTTCGTAACTGAGCCCCTTTAGGGAATTTGATCCGCCGGCAGCTCTCTGCTAACCTCGGCTGGCTGCTAAGGCCAACATCGCCTCTGTAACACAGTGACTTACGAAATTTTTCGTCGATTTTTGGGGGTGTGATGCGTGACCACACGAATTGAACGAAATACTACAGTATTCGGAGAAATTGCTGCTCCTACATTGTCCTTTGTAGTAGTAGAAACAGAAGGAAAAAATATAAAACCAACTAAGTGTGGTCAAGATCGAAAAGTCTCTGCAAAGTCTTTTTGGAAATCCTGTCTCGATAAGGCAATTGAAACTTTCCTTAAATGGGCATAACCCCATTCTGGCTCTACCACACGTGCCGTTTAGTGCTGCTGGGAGCTGGAGTTGGCTCGAGCCAAGTTCAGCTCGCCTCAGGCGATTACCATATCGGGTGCCTCGAGCTGATGCCAACTCACCTCGGCTCGAGCTGGCTCTAGCTTCATCAAATCCCACTTCCTTTTATAGTATGCAGCGACAATGCCCGAGGTTCAATTGTGCTGGGAGAATGACCCCAATAATATTGATTTTGCTGTCGGGTGCCTTTGACTGGCCCAAATTTTGAGACCCCGCCAAAAAACATGCACCAGGTCTTTCGTGATTTCTGTGATATCAGCATACAGCGTGTCAAGTTGATCCAGTAATTTGAAAGGAGAAACATGAGGTTAGAAGCCAGAATCTTTTTTTAGGATTCAAAACTTGAATATAATTATGCAGAGATGTTATTTGGAGCAGAACACATCAACTTGGGATACATGTAAATTATTTTGCCCTTGACATGAAATCGGGCTTCTGTGGCCGCAAATTGAGGCATTTGAAGCGGGAAAAAAATTGGAGAAGGTTTATCGACTCTGTAGATATTGAATATAACACCTCTCAGGATCTGTAGAGCATAGAACATTTAACAGGGTGAGCTGTGAAGAGGCTGGAGTACCGTGGGACGCTGGCTTTCCTTTTATGGTCAAGCAGCTCGAGCTGGCTCGAGGTCAGCTTGGGTGCCTCGGGGTGACCCGAGTTTGATGGCCCATCAGCTCGAGGCAGCTTCAGCTCAGCTCCCGGCAGCACTAGTGCCGTTTCGTCCTCATCACTCAAAATGTTGCTTTTTCAAAATCCTGTCCCAAAATGGCAATATACCGTTTCCCAATCGGGACAGTGTACGTAATGGTCCCAACACATCAGTTACAGGTCTCCGGGAAGTCTTTTGAAAATTGCTGTCCTGATATGGAAATCGAAACCTTCCTTATAAGGAACGATATCCATTTGGATGAAGATCAAGCAGCGTCGACCCCATCAGCCAAAGTCTGCCTTTTCGAAATGTTGTCCCAAAATGGAAAGACTCGCTTTCCCAATTGAGACCTCACGTGTGACTTGTATTCTCATCGACCCCTCAATGTTGAATGGATTTTTGCGACGGAAACACAGACACAAGCTGAACACATGGTACCACCACTTGTCTTTCCGCCACCTTGACCTACTCAGTGCTCTGCCGCTGAATTTAAAGATCTTCCTGGATAAGGAAGTATCCATGTGACACTACCCACAGCCCCACACCCCATTTCACAAAAGGCCTTGAGAAATACGATGATCAATGTGCTCAGAAACAACACTAAAACAACAAACTTTATATCCTTTCAGATATAGCAATGGTACGCTCGAAACAGTAAGGACACTATTTCCGAACACCACGACCAAGAGGACACAAGAGATACAGTTGAGACTAGGTGAATCCGACGAGTGTCAGTCCCTGACCAGGGCCTTGACAAAGGTTGGAGGGAGAGGAACTATCTCAAGTAGAGATACGAACGTCTTGCCAAAGTA